GGGCCAGAGCAGGAGTCGTGACTTTTATCAGGCCACAACCATAAAAATTAACTCATCCTTTAATGTCTACCGTGAAACAAATCTCCTTTAACAGGTGCTCATGAAATAACAATCGAAAGATGGGATCAGAATTACTGAGGGCATAGATCCACACAGGAGTGTGTCGATTCTATATTCTGGAAATCCCAAAACCCGGTTACGTGTTAACTCATGAATCAACTTCGGGAAAAGCTATAAATAAAAGACGTGGGCGTTTGGGTAGATCGAGTGTAAACCGGAACAGTTTAAATGGGTGTCAAAAGGGCAAACCTGCATATGCCGTCTAGTCATGAAAAGGCGGAGACAGAGGACCAAGACACAGGCCGCCAAACGAAGGCTACAAATATTTTCGGGCGAAAATATACCAGCCACGATTACTGCTAGGGAGTTCCATCGAGGGCCGAAGCGTTGTGAGTTGGTCTGTGCAGACTGCAGTAGTGTAGGAGAAATCTGGGAAATCACGGGCGATACCCACAGTAGGAGTGCACAAAAGGGTGCAATGAAATTTATATGAAAGAGCGCCCGCGTCAGCACTGAATCGGAGTTCCTATATTGAACGGATGCAAAGAAAGCGTTAATGGGGACGGAATAGCAACAGCAGAATCAACTTCAGAACAACAATTATAAGATGACTGTTTCAATATTTAACGCCAGGATGCCGCATTTCAAAATAGTTGTTTGATCAAGTTTGAGTTATCGAAAAAGGCTAGCTGTAATTGCAAGGCATATTTAACTCTCTTAGCCACGAGATTATAAGAAATGAAACCATCATTAACAGTTTTGAAGGCACTTGCCCCAACTTCTTTTGGCGAATCGTAAGCCACTTAGGCATGGATACTGAAAAACAGTATTTATTTATTCACCTTAATCTGTGGATGTTCTTATTCTAAGAGGTTCTTGTGGCAGCGAAAAAAATTTTTTGTGATAAGGTTGGATGCATGTTCCTTCACTATTGTGATCCTAGCGCGTACAACCGACTTCAACTAGATATAAAACGCAGTTTCAAAGAGAATTAAATACCATGAACCATTTGTTTCAAATAATTGGTAAGGACTTTAGGAATAGCACAAGTAACCGTATCCTGGCACTTTCACCAACTAAGAGACTGCTCATCGCAGGGGAAGTAAACATGAGCGATGAGGAGCATTCACACCCAAAACTCTATCTTGGGTCTAATGGCTTGGCCTCCGCGACCCAAGGGGCCTTGAAAAGCTTGGCAACTGGTACCGCGGTTATCTTTTAAGTGGAACTGTTAGACAGA